TAGGCTGATATTGCACATACTCTTTGTTTTCATGCAAATTTCACTTTAGATTTTACTGTAAATGCCTTACTGCTTATTAATAGTGTATCAAAACATATATTAAATCAAACTGAACTCTTGATGCTTTAGGTCAGATTGGATTAGCAAAATTATCTATATTTGCCAAATGTCAGAAAAATCAGTTTTTCTTGAAATTGAGAGCAAGACAAAAGGTTATGTCTCTCAATGTGTTATTTTTTTTGGGGGGGAGGGGGTATACTTTTATTTGTAATATGTTACTACTGTATATAAATTAACTACACATTATAACTAAGATTCGACTTAGTTTTCCCTGTCGGACCTTGCAGCATTGGCTGTATTTTGGATATCATAAAATAACATTAAGATGTGAGTACTAGAGGCTTTTTTAAATACAACAAGGATTAACAAATTAACAAGATAATCAAACTACTTTTACTTAAAACTGGAAAGAAACACTAAATCTAGATGTAGAACTAGATCTCCCCAGGATACCTGCAGGTGTAAGCGCTAGAAGTCTCAAGTGAAACCTCTCTGAAGCTAGGCTGTTGGGAACTTCCTGCTGTCATTCGTAGCGGCTGAAAGTGAACTTAAAGCATTTTTTTTTTAGATTTGTGGTTAAAAACTATAAGTACCAGAATATACACTGCCTGGCCAAAAGAAAAGGTCACTCACTCTAATACTTTGTTGGACCGCCTTTAGCTTTGATTACGGCATTGTTTCGATAAGCTTCTGCAATGTCAAAAGATTTATTTCCATCCAATGTTGCATTAATTTTTCACCAAGATCTTGCATTGATGATGGTAGAGTCTGACCGCTGCACAAAGCCCTCTCTAGCAAATCCCAAAGATTCTCAATGGTGTTGAGGTCTGGACTGTGTGGTGGTCAATGTGTGAAAATGATGTGTCATGCTCCCTGAACCAGTCTTTCACAATTTGAGCCCGATGAATCCTGGCATTGTCATCTTGGAATATGCCTGTGCCATCAAAAAGAAAAAGTCCATTGATGGAATAACCTGGTCATTCAGTATATTCACGTAGTCAGTTGACCTCATTCTTTGAACACATACTGTTGCTGAACCTAGACCTGACCAACTGCAGCAACGCCAGATCTTAACACTAGGCACTAGGCATGGTGGGTGCATCACTTACCCTGCTTCTCTTCTTACCCTGATTCGCCCATCACTCTGGAACAGGGTAAATCTGGACTCATCAGACCACATGACCTTCTTCCATTGTTCCACAGTCCAATCTTTATGCTCCCTGGCAAATTGAAGCCTTTTGTTCCGGTTAGCCTCACTGATTAGTGGTTTTCTTACGGCTAGACAGCTGTTCAGTCCCAATCCCTTGAGTTCCCTTCACATTGTGCGTGTGGAAATGCTCTAACTTTAGGTATTAAACATAGCCCTGAGTTCTACTGTTGTTTTTCTACGATTTGATCTCACCACACGTTTAAGTGATCGCCAATTACGATCATTCAGGATTTTTTTCCGGCCACATTTCTTCCTTCAAGATGATAGGTCCCCACTATCCTTCCAGTTTTTAATAATGCGTTGGACAGTTCTTAACCCAATTTTAGTAGTTTCTGCAATCTCTTTAGATGTTTTCTCTGCTTGATGCATGCCAATGATTTGACCCTTCTCAAACAGACTAACATCTTTTCCACGACCACGGGATGTGTCTTTCGACATGGTTGTTTAGGAAATGAGAAGCAAGTCATTGCACCAGTTGGGGTTAAATAACTTGTTGCCAGCTGAAAGATAATCGCCCATGCAGTAATTATCCAATGGAAGGCTCGTACCTATTTGCTTAGTTGAATCCAGGTGGCGACTTTTTTTTTGGCCAGGCAGTGTATAATACAGTATTTCTTGCTGCCACTTTTTAAATGCTGATATGCAGACAGCTCTGCAGAAGCCACCCTGGCTTGAATGTGGTGTCTTTCTCTCAGAAAACTCCTGGATTAGCTTTTCTGATTAGTTGACAAAGCTTGATGCCGTCCACCACAGACGTCGCATTTAAATTGGTCTGGATCATCATCATCCTCTCTTCCCTGTTCAGTACTCTCCCTTCTTCATCCCTATTGAAGAGTTATTTTCTTCCTGCCGTTGGAAGGTATGAACATTAAACACATCAATACATAGGCCTTTTAAAGGCACCGGAGAAGGCATGTGGGACTATTGACCAGGATTCATGTCATTCCTGGATATGGCCCTCCTAGATGTATTTTCCCTGTGCCCTGGACTCTGCATATGATACTGTTGAATTATCTTCCCAGTCCACATAGACAGCACAATGTTGACTGAGGTTTTCTCTCTCTTGCTGTGAAATTATGGAATGTAGAAACACTTGTTTGTATTTGATGTGATTACAGTAAATACAGTAAACACCTTGAATGCAGCTTGATAATACTTGTTGAATTACTGAATTTAGAGCCCTTTGTGTTTACAAAACAATGACAAAAAAATATGACTTCAAACTGACAAACCGCCTAACTCACAGAGAAAGCAGAAGCCAGATGGGTTTTCCATTCTAACCATCAGTGTTCAGTTGTTGCTGATTTGTGCTCATTAATATTATGGGCTGTGTGTGCTGTTGTGTATGAAAATAACATTTTAAGTAAGTGTGATCTATGATGTTTTTTCGAATTGAGTGAATGATTGTACGATCTGTGTGAGGAGTTTTGTACAGCCAAAGGTTTAAAAAATGGTGCCTAATGAATAAGAAACTGTAATACAAATAGTTATTAGAATATGAAGGGTGTAACATATCCTGTTTGTTGTGTGTTAATGTATTTGTGTCAATGAAAGTCAGTCACTGAGAGACAGGAAGGTCAGATTCTCCTTTAGCAGAGGAGAGCAGTCAAATGCCAATGCAGCTGCTATGGACAATATAGAGGTAAATACTTTGAGCTTTTTTAGGATTGCTTTGTATACGATTTGAAAACTAGCAAATAATTGATTTGAGGAACTGCATGACCATCTTTTGTTGTCAATCTGTTAACAACATCCTGTCATTTAAGATGTGTGTGTGTACAGTAAATAGACAAACTGTGCTGTATGTATTTTATTTTATTTGTTTGGGAAATAATCTATGGAGTGTTTTAAGGACTGTTGTAATTGCAGCTGCAAGTAAAGTGCTTACCTTTGTAAAAAGAAAAATAAAATAAATAAACTTAAAGCAAAAAACTGAATTCTTATTAAGTAATTTTTTTCTTAAAATATGTGCATTTTTTTTAATTCAGGGGGTAAGTGACACATTTTGCCAATGGAACAAAACAAGTTTCATTTAAAATAATCTTATTTACCTACTCAAATTAGGACTAAATACTCTTGATTCAAGAAGATTTTACTTATTTCTAGATCATTTTTGCAGTGCTGTTTCTTCTTTTGATTTTGTGTTAGCAAAGTGATGCATGTAAAGAGATTCAAAAAATTCTTGGTATCATCACATGTCCCTAACATAAAAACTACATCTTATCTATTTCAGTTTCTTGGGATCCTTTTTTTGGCCTAATATACCCCAAAACATTCCTCCTTTTCTTTCCGTCTGTTCCTTTCTCACACAAGCACACAAAATAAATGCACACAGACTCAGAAAATCTCCTGGATCTGTCCAGAGTGATTGGAAGCCCCAGAATGACCTCTCCAGCTGGCACTCTGTGTTCCAGTATTGTCACAACAGCCGTGCATTTCAGCCGTATCGCAGATAATCGTGTCAGACCCGCCCTCTAAAGCTTAGTCTGCCAGCAGCGCAAAACAGGCCAGCTGCACTCACAGACGATCAAGCTGTGTGTTTCTTCTGGTCATTTGGAAATTCTCTGTAACAATCTAAAGCAAAGATAAGATAGACACTACAAGAAAAATTGGTTTTAAGGAGGGTAATAAGACTTTACCTTTAAATGCATATTCAGGCTTCCCAGAGCTTCACAAATATTAACAAAATCTTGTACAAAAAGTTCCCAGAATAGTCCTGTTAAATGGACTTTAATCATGATTAATATTGTTTTTTGTTATTTATAGTCTGACTTTTTGTGGATGGCTAATATGCATCGTATGTACCTAGCCCAATAGTCATAGTACTACTGTTCTAATTAAAGTTGAAATTTTTCTATCTTATTCATGCTCTATAAAGCATCAAGCATGTAAATATTTGTTTCCTTAATATTTGATCTTTTACATGCATACTAATAATGATCAGATGTTTTCTAGCCTGTGCCAATTTCGTATGTCTGCACAAAAGGTTAGAATCCGATTCATTGAGGATGGTATGGGGGCCTGATTTCTACAGATGGGAGTTGTGCTCACAGCCCAACACCATGCAGGATGCTTGGCTTTTGCCAGAGAACACCAGGATTGGCAAATTCACCCCTGTTGCCCTCTGCTCTTAATAGATGAAAGCAGGTTCACACTGGGCACCTGTCATAGACATGACAGAGTCTTTAGACACCGTGGAGAGCTAGCTGCTGCCTGCAACATCGTTCAGCATGACTGGTTTGGCAGTGGGTCAGTAATGGCGTTGATTGGCATTTCTTTCCATCCACCAATGCCACATTGCACCACAGACTGTCCAGGAGTTGGCTGATGCTTTAGTCTAGGTCTGGGAGGAGATCCCTAAGGAGACCATCCACTATCTCATCAGAAGTCAGAGGTCATCCCGGCACATGTAGGCCACACACAATACTTAGCCTGATTTTGACCTGTTTTAAAGATATTCATTCAAAGTAGGATCAGCCTGCAGTGTTTTTTCCACTCCATCTTTGTGTGTGACTCCAAATCCAGGCCTTCATTGGTTAATACATTTGATTTTCATCTATGATTTTTGTGTGATTTTGTTGTCAGCACATTCAACTTTGTACAGAACAAATATTTAATTCATCCAAATCTAGGATGTGTTATTTGAGTGTTTCCTTTATTGTTTTCCAGCAGAGTATTTAAAGTGCTTTAAATACAAACCATTATACAATAATATCCTCTTTCTTTACAGACACAGACTGTTCAGGAGGCTCTACATCGAACTCTGCAGTTTTACAGAAAACAAGAGATCAGGTATGAACATCTAACAGTCACTCCCTCCTGAGAGCTTCCTTTCCCCTCTCCTCCCCTCTCGTCTCCTTGCCTTTGTCCATCCCCTGTCATGTCTCAGGTATTCCTGTCATTCACTTCCCATTTGACTCCTTATATTTTTCACACTTGTCTGTCACACGTCATACACCGGTTCGCTCCTCTTCTTTCACAGTCTCTGCCACTTCTTGTTTGCTTTGCAGTCGTCTCATTTCTCGTTCAGTCTCTCACACACACAAAGAAATAGGCAAACACCTAGTCTCACTCCTTCACCTCTTGTTTGTGCCCTGTCAAAACAGTAGAACTCAGCAGAGGGTTTCCAGCCAAGCGGCAAAACTTAGAAACAACCTTCAAACAGCATATACTGAATACAGATGCAGAAATGCTGCATCTGGTCTTCTGCGTGTCCCACTATGGCTTCAGTCTGTGTAACCTAATTAACTGATGTGCAGCGGAGCGTCCTAATGTGGAAAATCAAATACAGCGCCATGAAAAGAAGAATTTACCCCCTACAGGTTTCTTATGCTTTGTTTTTTTTTGGGTCACAGATGATTTTCTTTCAATAGACAAACATAACATTAGTAAATGCAGAAAGATTTTCTTTTAGTTGTTTCTTTTATTATGGTGAAAAATGTATCCAAACCAACCCGATCTGTAGTATGTGAGACAGTAATTCCCTAAAATTCCTACCTGGCTCTTTGGCAGCACTGAGTGCTATCAAGTGTTTGCAATACCTTTGCAGTTCCTACCCATTCTGTAGAGCAGCGGCCCCCAACCATCGGGCCGCGGACTGGTACCGGTCCGTGGGTCATTTGGTACCGGGCCACACAGAAAAAAGTATATATATATATATATATATATATATATATATATATATATATATATATATATATATATATATATATATATATATATATATATATATATATATAATTTATCGACGAGTCTGAGTGATGTTTTATTTAGAAAAATATCAAAAATTGCGGTATTCTCTCCCAATTACATAAGTCGGTGCATCTTTGCCTCTTGACACAGGTTAATTCCTTGTTTTATTTTTATGCTGTTTGTATTTGATTTTATGCCAGTCGTATCATTTTACTTGATTTTACCACCACTACCCCCCCTGACATATAGCGGTCTGTCATGGTTGGGGACCGTTGCTGTAGAGAACATTTTGGCTCACTCTACTTTTACAGAATTGTAATTCAGCTTAATCAGAGGCTTTGTGAGTACATCTAAATGGGATCAAGTCCAATCTTTGACTAGGCCATTTGAGTATTTCAATGGATCGATGTCCTGCTTCATAATCCAAAAGCCCATGAGCTTAACTCGGGTTATCTTTGTCTGATATTAATATTTGATTATCTAAAACATCTGTTACAAAAAAATTACCCAGAAGGGGGGGGGGGTCACTTTTAATCGACTATGGTATTTTTATCCCTTTCACTATTTAAGATTTAATATGAATACAATACACATACAGTAGCTACCATTTTACAGAAAATAAGCCTCTACTTTTTTCTCATGCTTTGAACCATGATTTCCAACACAATGTGACACTTTCTGCATCACATTCTTACTCCTCTGCAATCTAACCAGATGTGGCTCCAAATGCATTCATTTAAAATGAGATAAATGTTGCCTTTTATGAGTTGGAGCGTCATATTGGTTTCTTTTATTGATCCCAGGGTTGATTATGTATTTATCTGTTTACTTTGTGGGACCCGCAGGTGTCAGAATGAAGAAGGTGGGGAAAGGCAGCACGAGAAAAAGGAGAAGTGCCTGTTTCTTGAAAACTCTGGTTCAGAGGAAGATGTCCTACAGATTCTGCAGTATATGGCCACAATATTAGGTAAGCATGAAATGATTTTTATGTTTGACATTCATAAATTAAGGATATAAAGTTGTAGATTTAATATAAAAAATCTTATCTGGCCTGGTTTGTATCTTAATCCAGTTTACATTTAGCATATATTTGCTTCGTTGCTATTGTTCTTTTGTTTCTGCCTCTTTGCTGCTGTAAATCGAATATCTGTCTGTTGAGCTGATGGGTGGGCAGGACATACGGAGAAAGGCCCCCCGATTTTTATGTCCTTTAGTAAACTGTGTGCAGAATTATTGAATAATGAGTATTTTGACCATATCATCCTTGTCATACATGTTTTTAAAGCCACTCCTGCCATACACATGCTTTAATACTCGGCACTTCAAGATCAGTGTCTTACAAAACCCATCGATATAATATCCTGTTTTCAGACATCGTTTTTTGCTACTTTTAATACGACTATTTGATTTAAACACTCAGTGGATCCAAAAATGGTGTTGCTTGTCAAACAGTCAGCTCTGAAACCAGCCTTTTTAGTTGGTTAAATGGGACTGACTCCGCTGCAAAGGTTTATACATCACCTTTTCTACTTTTTGTTAATGCTGTTTATTCTGGTCAGATTTAATGTTAGACTGTTAGAGACCTCATTCAACTCTTTCTGAAAGATCCAGAACCTTTTTCCTTTAAGATGAGCCCTGCTGTGTGTTAGAGGTTTGCTCAGGAATCATCTCATAGTCAGCCTTGACTGGAATGCATCCATAGGAAGAAGTAAAGGAAGCCTTAGGTGGACTACATTCCCTCCAAGACCTCATTAATGATCCAACTTCTATATTTGATGTTGCTGTGCTGTGATTCTACATGATTATATTTTTCATATTAAATGTATTCTGCTGTAATCCTTTAATCCTGTTTTTTATTCCCTGATATTATTTAGCCAGTGGGCCGATTATCTTTTTATCCTATAAATATTTACAAAGCTTTGATGTCTGATTACTCCAATGAGTTTCTGTGGTCGATTTGCTTAAAATACATTTTAATTCATTCATTTTTGGGAACAGGAAGAAACATCAGTCTTCATTTAAAAGCAACATGTATAATATTAAGCAGCCTAGCCTTTAATTTGCATATTTTTTAATTAAGTAAAGTAATAAAAGATGAATGTAACATTAACTTTAGTAATGTATTTTTTATTGATTCTATTTATTTGGGCTGTGAAGTTTTTCTGTGGTGTTATTTCAAAGTGCAGAGCTACCTTGGTGATGTTGGCGTTTTTGCTTCCCGTTTTTTTTTCTCCACAGGAGTGCCATTCTGTGAGCTGCGAGAGCATTTTGGGGAGGAGTTCTTTGGTCTCTGTTTCGAAGAGAACGAGCGAGTGCTGCGGGCTGTAGGTGGCAACCTTCAGGATTTCTTCAATGGTTTTGACGCCATTTTAGAACACATTCGCACCTCCACGGGGCGCCGAGCCTCCTCCGAGAGCCCTTCCTTTCAGTGCAAGGACCCCCGCGAAGAGGAGAAAGATAGAGGGAAATTGGAGAAGCTTGGAAATCGTGGCAGCAGAGACAGCAGAGGGAAGGTGCTGTTTCTTCACTGTTTCAACCCTGCACCTGTTGTGGGATTAGTTATGCCAGGTTTGATTAGAGCTGTCGCCAGGCGGATCTTTCATTCAGAGGTTGAAGTGGAAGAGGTGCCACCTCTAACTCCCCTGCTGCCAAATGAAGATGCTGAACAAACAGACTGTGATTCTACAACCCCCACTCCCACAGCGTCCCCCACTGCTTCACCCCCTTCATCCCCGTCCCCTCCATCCCTTTTTCCAACTTCAATCCCCACAGTTTGTCTATCCTTCTTAATCCAAGAGACTTGCACTTCTCCTCTCTCTTCCATCCCAAATTCGGCATCTGTCAGCACTAACCGCCCCCCACTTCACCTATCTACTAATCCCAGCGATCTTCGCATTTCCCTGGCTACGTTCTGCCGTGCCTTCCCTTTTCACCTAGTCCTGGGGCATCGCATGGAGCTGCTGCAGCTTGGAGAAGGACTGAGGAAACAGGCTCGCATTGAGCCTCACAGGATTCTCTCATTCAGGGACTGTTTTGAGATAGTCTCACCCAAGATGGAACCCTCTTTCCAGGGCATACTGCTGAGACTTGCTTCGCCATTTACTATCCGTACCAGGCCCGACCCCATGCAAGCTGGCACTAAGGAGAAGGTAAAACACCTTGACTGTTCTTAATAATTAGATTTTATCCATGTGCTGAAAAGTTGTGGACCTTGCTGTGATGATGTTATTGTTTAAATTGTCTAACCATGAAGAGTTTCTTTCCCTGAAAGTATTAAACTGGGCCAAAGCTCTAAATAAGAGCCATACACTGTAATCCCCTTTGCACCACACCTTTTGCCCTACACAGTGTCGTCAAGTGTCATTCTCCTGGATGGGCTAGTTACCAATGTTACCAGTCGCTCCTAAGAGTGACATATTTCTTCAGAAATGTGTTTGGAAGCAGTCAGTATGTCTAGATGCTAGCCTGATAAACCAGACTAAATGTGAGATTAAATGGGTAATTTAGTCTGGCCCCAATGAATGAGACATCGGAAGATTGTTGATGAGAACAATCCGTTGTTTTTCAAACCATGTCTGTGCATATTGTCCAATGCTCTGACCAATGAGCGCAACTGACTGTGACGTAGTAAGACAGAAAGCTGGTGGGGGAGTGTAAACAAACAGCCTGTCAGTAAAATGGCGAATATGTCCTTGTATGTAAAGCCTCTTACTGCTCACGTTTCAATGAAAACCCTAATTCTAATCATTCCAAAACTGATTCCAAAGCTGAGTCAAAAATCGCCATCAGAGCCAGCGGTCCTTCACACAAGACTATGCCGAGATAGGCCCGCTGCAAATGTGCTGAGGTTAGCCCTGGCTGCCATTAGCTTCGGAGCTCAGCCGGTTGCCGCGTTCCTCTCAACTTCGGAAATTGTTTTTTAATTAGGCATTAAATCGATAAATGGACCATATAGTGACACTTTAAAGTATAATATTCTCGCCTCAAATGACCTTAAAATGTGCTTTTATTGAACAACAGAAAATAGAACTTTTAACTTTCAATGGAGCGCTCCATTGAAAGCTCCTGCTGCCACAGTGCATGCTACTGTTCAATAGTTGTTGCCATCTTCCTTGTTGTGCTTTCTCCAGCATCGCACAGCTTTGTCGTCCCGCCCTCAAAACCACGCCCACTTTGCATCCAAAAATTCAAAACACATCTCTACGTTGCGATTGGTCCGCCAGTTCTAGGCCCTGAGGCATTGATTGAGGCTAGACCACTCGCAGGCAAAAATGATTTTGGCCACTAGCGAGTGGGGCTAGTTTACTAGGCTACCTAGATGCAGGGTTTTATTTCAGTATTAAACTAAAATAAAGTTAGTAGCTAGTTATTAGCTACTGCAAGTACTACAAATATTGTTGTGTTTTGTTGAATTTCAATTACAAACTATAGTGATGGAAATAAACCAGATGTATTTCTAAGCACAGCAGACAAACCTACAGATGTGTTTGACTGTTAAGAAAATCTACTTCTGAAACATCACGCATCAAATTCTAAACATTTTTAAGAGTTGCATTGTTACTTAAGAGGTGAGGTTTAAACGCGCTGACAAGAGTGTAGCTCCATTTTCAATCTAAGAGGCTGATCTGCCTCACCTTAAAGGAATAGTACACCCAAAACATGATTAGCCTTCATTTTCTATTCACCCCCATGCTAAACAACACTCTGGAGTACTTTTTTGATATCTCAAATGCATCTGGAGATCTGGGAGGCTTCTTGCTGTCTACTGACATTCAAATAATGGAGGTCTATGGTGACCGAGACAGAAAGGTCCATAAAAGTCCACAAAAAACGTGTCAATATTCCTCCATACTGCTCGTCCAATGTATTCCAAGTGTCCTGAGTGGGTAGCATCCAGAATTTACTCGAAACGAAGTCATTTAGAATGTTTTTAGAGCATAAACAGTAGTGTATAGGATTTCCTGAAAGCGCGCACATGCGCGCTCACGACGCTACGGAAGCCGGCAGACCAAACCAGATGAAAGTGCGCATTCAGCGTCTGCTCTGCCAATAATGCAAGCGTAGAAGAAGAAATGTGCTGTTTACCTGTGCAAAGAAAGAAACAACGAAAGAAAAATGTCTGAGGACTTCAGTGTTGAGGAAGAGCATGAGTTCTTTGCCGAGCTGAATGCGCTGGTTTGGTCTGCCGGCTTCCGTAGCGTCGTGAGCGCGCATGTGCGCGTTTTCAGGAAATCCTATACACTACTGTTTATGCTCTAAAAACATTCTAAATGACTTCGTTTCGAGTAAATTCTGGATGCTACCCACTCAGGAAACTTGGAATACATTGGACGAGCAGTATGGAGGAATATTGACACGTTTTTTGTGGACTTTTATGGACCTTTCTGTCTTGGTCACCATAGACCTCCATTATTTGAATGTCAGCAGACAGCAAGAAGCCTCCCAGATCTCCAGATGCATTTGAGATATCAAAAAAGTACTCCAGAGTGTTGTTCAGCATGGGGGTGAGTAGAAAATGAAGGCTAATCATGTTTTGGGTGTACTATTCCTTTAAGCTCTGATGGTTCGTTCAGACTGAACATGCTTTGTGTGTTTAAAAGGCATCAACTTGGACATTTGTGCGAGTCAGACAATCATCTAATAATTATTTAACTTTATCGATCTTACATTGGAGAAATTTACCTGTGCATTTAACCCATCCACTTGGGGAGCAGTGGGCTGCCATGGGGCAGCTGGGGAGAAGTGTTGGGTTAAGGTTCTTGCTCAGAGACCAAGAGTGGCAGTGGGGCTCAAATTCACAACCTCAGGATTCCAAGCTCTATGCCCTAACAGCTCAGCCACCACTTCCCCTAAGAATATAGAGCTTTTAGAAAGCTCTAGATGAGTGTGGAGAGAGGCTACCCTATTCTTTTCCTTTCCTGGTCACTTTTGTACAATGGGAGATGCAATTTTCTAAATAAACCCTGTCTAACTTCAAGTTCAAGTGTTTAAAGCAGCAGAACATGTTGGGAATACTGGGATGTATGATTTCTGCTAATTATGTTCCCACTTTATCACAAACTTTATACACAGTGGAGCTGAAAAGAGCTGTCTATAAGGTGACGTATTACTTTTAACAAAATGTATGCAAGAAGGCCACACTTTGTTCCAAACCTTCCCTTTGCCTGGCCAGATTTCAGTGTTTGAAGCATGATTGAAGAATGTTAGTAACAGTTTTACAGAAATTAAAAGTCATTTAATGCCACTTTGGGGGAGGTAGCACCTAAATATTTCATCAAAGCACACTAAAAAGCTGTAAATCTTTTTTTCACCAGAGGAGTGAGGATTGAATTGCTTCCAATTTGCCCAAAAAACAGATCAATTGGAGCTGTGTGCTATATCCTGCTCCTTATCGATTGTTTGGTCTCTGCAGGATTCCTGTGACACATCCAAACACCCTGACGCAGAACAGTACTGACAGAGAGGAGATGGATTGGTCTGGCTCTGGATGTGCGCTCTGGTTATGTCTGAATTTTCCATTAGTTTGGTGTTAAACTCCCCAATGTACAATATTCGTATTCTAAACTTTCTCTCCGTTTATTTGTTGTGTGTGTTATTTGTTTGTACGACACATATAAAAGTTAAATGCATTAATATAAAAAATCCGTCTTCGGCTTTGTGCAAGCCCCAACAGACGTGTGGAAACCGCTTGAACTCTTCAGTGTTTTTTCATATTACAACCACAAACCTTTATGTGTTTTATTAGAGGAGTTCTGGAATTGACTTTAAATGCACATCAAATCGTTTTCAGGAGAAAATAAAAAAATTGAACTTATTCGGACCCCTTTGTTGACTCATGTATGTGCACTCCTGTGGATGCAGCATTGGCAGCATTAACATTTGCTATGGTTTGTTTATGGTCTCTTACAAAATAGGTAAAAAGTAAAACAAGCTGCAAAACTTATCGACTGTCTGCAGGTGACTCTCTAATTGTTGGAGTTGCCTCCTTTGGTGAAATTGAGATAAAAATTGCGATAGCAGGGTGGTCTAATGTTAGTTCCCCTCCAGAGTTGATGTCATTATAGGAGGAGGACCGAAGTCACCATTTGTGGAGAACGTGCTCTTGTGGGCTTCTCTGTTTTTTCCCCCGGCAGGTTTCAATTGAAGCCCAACACTAATAGATATGTTACGTTATGAAAAAGTTTGATTTCCTGGTGATGACACCATGGGCGTAGATTTGCATAGGGACCATAGGGACATGTCCCTACCAAAAACTTGGAAGGACCTATTTGTCCCTACCAATAATTGGATGTAAACAACATGTTTATAATTTACTATACAGCAGCCGCTTCTTTTCCTCTCGCAGCTTCTCTGCCTGGTAGCTGCAGCTGCCTGCTCTTTCCTGTATCTTTCACATAGCAGCGCATCAACTGTGCTGCGCGGTTTAACTCTCTGATTATTCTGCCTTAAGGTCCGCCTTCTCTCTTTCTGATTGCGTGTTTTCTAGTCTGTATGTGCGCGGGTGCTTGGAGCGCGAAAAAAAAAGACGCTAAAATAAATTAATATTGGGCCAAGAAGCTAGTCCAAATGAAAAAAAATATTATCTACGCTAAAACAGGCGAAAGCTTCCGACTGGAGTTCTGTAAAGAAGCAGGAGAGAGTTTTATTGATTTGTGGAACTTGAGAAATGTAAGTTAACAACGTTATGATTTCTTTTATTTTATCTTTTAATCAGATAGCCAAAGGCTCTTTACAGAAGATCTTTTATGAAATGAAACCAGGTGAAACAGAAACGTTTAAACGTTTCCTTTGGAGGAGTTCTGGATGGAGAATATTGAGAGACAAAACTTTTATTTTTTTACTTCTTAAATGCTAATATTTTTTACAATCTTGGTATAATTCCTGCTCTAAGTGGGTCGCTCTGTCGGCTAAAGGCACATTTTAGCGGCCCTATACTCCAGTTTACGATTAATCAATTACTAAATTAGTTCACGATTATTTAAATAATTTGTTAATATGATTGTTTCAGCCATAGATAAAATACATGAAATTAGCAATACAGAGTAACTACAGCCCAGATGTACAACTTCAAATATTAATATTTTAAAGGCTCTGTGTCAGTTCCTCTTCTAGTTCCAGTGCACATGTAAATACAATACATTTATTTGCT